GGTCCCTCCTAAAGTCCTTAGAGGATCGGTCTGCCAAGGCGAAAGGCATAAATCCGCCCATCATTGCTTAGCCCACATTACCAGGATCCTTTTTACATAAATATAAGGAATCCCATACCCCAAAAAGTATAAAGGATCCCTAATATTGATCCAGATTGGGTAGGTGGCAACCGAAGGCTTGACTTGAGGATTTACAAGCAAAAGCTTAGGTTTCCAAATTCAGGCTGCAGGGCAAAGTGGAGGATTTCAGGTTAGAGCTTATAGGATTTAGGGTTGAAGGTTCCAGGAATGTTCTTACTATTATGTAGCATGCTTGCGTAAACGTGCTTGTAGAGTATCTCGCACCCTTTGGTACATCCACAAATACATTCAGTAGACTGCCATGATTACTGTAGAGACACTCGCCTTTGGAGGGGTACCCTGAACCCTAAACCGCAGATAAGGATCCTGACATTTGGGGGTTCATAGAAACAGTTGATCCCAAGCGGTCTCAAATAGCCGAACTTTTGCCCATTCGCATCCTAAGACGGCCTAAAACGAAAAGTTCCAGTGGTGCCCTTGACCCTGTGATCCTTATATACCTGTTATATACCTTTTAGAACCCTAAGTAAGGGTCCATAGTTTGGACAGATGGAAACAAGTAGGCGCCCGAATATCAAGTGCCCCTTGCGGACGTTACATTCATTGCACGGCAAAGATTTGGTGATTTCCATAGATCAGGGGTCCCTGTCAAGGGATTACAGGGGACATCTATTGGTTATACAAGTCCGTTTGAGTGTGCTGAGGGGCATTTTGGGGTCCATGTTTGGGTCACGGCACATGGAAACTCCCATTTGCTTTGTGCCGCATTCCATCACTGAACTGGAAGCCCCTCAACATGGCGATGTCCCAAAGACCGAGCCTCAAAGCAATGTGTCCATCCACCAGTCTTGGAAGCTAATGAAACGGCCTGAATACTTGGAATATGATTCGGGGGTCATATAAGCTTCAATCAGTATTACCCAGATAGTTGATGCACATGGATTCCGTACTAGGGACTATAAAAGGGACTCTACTACACTACAAGAGGGACGCCTATGTCCACCCTTAACGGTCCCTTGGTACGGCTACTGCTGACACTGGTTCATATCGTATACTATAGTTATGTGAGGATTGTACCCTAAACTCTAAACCCTAAACTCTAAACCCTAGACCCTAAAGTAAAGGGCTAAGATTGGTAATCATTCAGTTTCTTACATCACCGTCTGGCAAGACGTCTCCTCGGCTTCCTCCTTCTTCGCCTGCACACAGGGACTTAGGACACTACGGTGGATACTAAAAACCTTGCATGACCCTAAAAGTACCTTATACCTTGGGAATTGTGGTACTATAGTATATTAAGGTCATGCAAGATTTCTAATATCAACAGTAGGTTAAGGGTTAAGGGCTAGGGGTTTCGGGAGGGCTCAGGGTTTAAGATTTGGTTTCCTAAGGGATCCAAACAGAATGCCTCAACTTTGCAACTCAAAATGAGGGAGCCTCCCCCCAAAATCAGGAATCGTGTGCACAGGACTTTTCATTCTAGGTTTTTTTGCGGGGTCCTGGGCTAGGGTCAGGTTTTCAAGTTCCAGGCCGAGCCTTTTTTTTAGCGGCTGTCAAGGGCTTCAGGGTTGTAGCCCTGGGCTTTAAGCAGCCCTAGGCAACTACCTTGGTACATGTAAGGTCTTCGTTGGGGGCATCGTGGGAGAAATCATTTTAGTGGTACGACCTTTGGGGTACCCTAACCCTAAACCCTAAATCCTCAACCCTAAACCCTAAATCCTAAACCCTAAATCCTAAACTCTCAACCCTAAATCCTAAACCCTGAATCCTAAACTCTCAACCCTAAACCCTGAATCCTCAACCCTAACCCTAAACCAACCCTGTAAGGTTGAGAATTCTGCGGTCCGGCCAGGCTACCTGGTGTTCACTACCGCGGATACTAAAAAGCCTGCATCTAGGGTTTAGGGTTTAGGGTTTAGGGTTTAGGGTTTAAAGTTTAGGGTTGAGGGTTTTGGGGTTTAGAGTTTAGGGTTTAGGGTTTAGGGTGCAGGGTTCAGGGCTTAGGGTTTAGGGGATC